CCGGGGGGGGGGGGGGGAATCACATGCCTTGCCCCCCCACTTTGAGAACGGGGGGGGGGGGGGGGGGGGGCAAGCGCCCCCCTTTCCCCCCCCCCCCCTCCCTCGGTTGGTACACCCATGATAGTCGCATCTTGTTTTTTGCCCCAAAAGAACCCTACGTCTTAATAACAAGAGTCGTAATAGTTTCTCTTGAACTTTAAATCTTGGCCATTGAGGAAAGCGCTGGTGGCTGCGTGAGCATGCCCTCCATCACGGTCAGCAAGAAAAAAGGCCGTTTTTGCAATGTGGCACGGCCCCGTGAAAGGGAATAAGAGGGATGTGTGTCGGGCGGAGGTTTGTGGGTTGGGTCAGGGAGGTGTTAATGACCAAATTTAATAATTTAATAATTTATTTTAATTTAGTAGTGTAGGGTGGTTTATTGGCATTACTTTAGGTGTGAATGTTTGGGTTAAAGTGACGAAGAAGTATAAAGTCATAGTTGGTAGTCAGCGGTGTGTATATCTCTGTTTCTCACTGTCTCTGTTTTGTCCCTGTCGTTCTAGCCGACCATTTACTTTTGCTTTAAATCTTATAATGCATGTATTTATTTGTTATATATTGTATTGGGCTAGGTTCTCCACTTTCCACTCCATCGAAAGGTTACTCGATGTACGTTAAACAACAGAAGCCGCGTGGACTGTCTTGCTCAAGGAGCTGTCGCTGGGTTCTTGCCCACATATGAAGGGACACCGTTTGATTTCAACCAAACACGGGCCGTATGTTTTCGCGCATGCGCAGCTGCTTTTTTTGAAAAAAAGGTCTTTATTTGCGGGAAAGCCCGGCGAACATCACGACTCCTGTGCGTACAGCTTTTTCGGCTGTTCGCCGAAGATAACCGCCAATCAGAAGGCTTGATTGGCTCACCATTTCCTTTCCAGGAGATGGTATGCTATGCGCTACTTTTGGAACATTCCGTTGCAGCAACAGTACACGAGCTATACGATCAAAATGCGCGCACACATTTTCTCAACAAAAGACTCAAAGTTTGGAAGAACCGACGACGCTTTTCTCGATCACGATTCCCTTTTTTTTTTTTTTTTCCACGCTCAGTGAATGGTGCCGGTGGAAGATCTCGATCGGCCATCTTAGCACGCTGTACTACCGGCTGTCCCAAACAGCGGGCAGGTTCTTTAAATCGACCGCAAAATTCGGTTTGTTAACCTATCGCGCTACGATTTTGTGCAGCGTTGCACAGGTGGTGCTTTTTTTTTTTCTATAAAATTTGCCAAGAGCGAACTTACCTGAAGAAAAAGTAAAAAAGAAAAAGGCTTAACTCCTATGGAAGCTTAGCGAAGTCACCGGTGTTCAAACAATACAGCGCTCTATTGATTGAAGACCGGTGGCTTCGCTGGGTTTCCACAGGAGTTAAGCCTTTTTTTGCTGTTCACTTCTTCCTCAGGTAAATTCGCTCTTTGCAAATTTTACAAAAAAAAAAAAAAAAGGCACCATCTGTGGGCAACGCTACGCAAAATCGTAGCGCGATAGGTTAACAAACCGAATTTTGCGGTCGATTTAAAGAGCCTGGCTGCTACTTGGGACACCCCGTAATAAAACCGGGTCCATCGTCGTGGAAGCTAACCGGTCACGTGTTGTAGCCTGTAGGTAACTTTTGCACACGATCACCGTCGTTCATAAAATGTGTGTGTGTGTGTGTGTTTTTTAACCTTGCGCTAATAGGAGCCGCTTTCACCTGTCGGAAATCTGGTTTCGAAGATTCCTTGCAGGAAATACTGAGGGCCATTAAGGGAGAAGAAGCTCCTTTCAACGAAGTTGAGGACAAAAGAGAAGCCATAATGGGAACGCAAGGCATGTTGGGGGGAGGTCATCTCGACGGGTCCAACAGGCTCTAGCTCGAGAAATATGCTACGCCCACGTCATTGCAAAACCTCGTAAGGCGGCGATTTGTGGTTAGCTCAGGAATCGCCGGTGAAAGCCCTGCCGCTTGATTCTGCTTTCCGCCCGTGTTGACCGATGGTGCTTCCCCAACGCTTGGACACCGATCATGAATCGACGCCATGAATGGGGTCCTCCGGGGAAATTCAAGAGCACGGAGCCCTACTGGATGTAGCTCGCAAGGACTCAATTCCTGACTTATTGTAGTAGCATCCGCAGATGGCGGAAGTAATTTTACGTAGCCAAGCCAGAAAGGTGAAACGTCTCAGTGTGGCCAACCTCCGCAATCGTTTCTTCCCTATTTTCATTAAAAAATTCCCTATATTTCCCTAGCTTTTCAGGAAAAGTTAATTTGCGTCAATATTGAGTTTATCTTTATGGAGTAGTTTAAGAAAGATTCCCATAGTTTAGTGGCCATTTAAAGGTAAAACGTGCGTAGTTTAAACTCTTTTACATAATTAAACTTTGACCCCAACCCCCCCCCCCCCCCAAAAAAAAAAAAAAAAAAAAAGATCGCTGTTGTTATCATTGGAGATTTTCTCTAGCCCCGACAATATACAACGAAGCCTTTTTCCCGCTGCACTCGGCCAGCACCTGATGGAAAAAAGAAAGGAACGTGTCTCTAAAGCCCTCTGAAACCCATTAAAAATGATCCCTAGATTTGAAGAAATTTGCCTTTGTCCCTAAACGATGACAGAAATTCATAAATATAGGAAAAAGTCCCTCCCGATGCACCAGGCCGGCAAGAGGAGGACAAAAAGAAGAAACCCGTCTCTAAAGCCCTCTGAAACCCATTAAGAACAATCCCTAGGTTTGAACAAACTTCTCTATGCCCTAAACGATAACTGAAATCCTTAGATCTAGGGGAAAATCCCTAAGGTTGGCAGCACTGCTGCAGACTGTACTACGTTTGAAATAGTAGTGAAAGGAAGGCTGCAGAGGGAACCTCGTGCAACTGGGAGGCGCCCTCGATTACCGAAACACGTTCCAGAGAAGGCCATGGAGTTGTCAACCTTTGCGCCACTGCTACTTTCAACCAAAGGGCTGGTTTGCTGATAGTTCCACGAAGGCACTTTTGTGCCCAACTAACACATTAATGCGTGGTAAAAACCGGATTCCCGAATACATTTCTTTGACGCCACTTACGATGCGTGCAGCAAGCATAGCTTCGGTGTTTAGCTTGGCGCCTGTTGAACTTACGAAACTTTCCCGAAAGATTCACACTCACGGCGTCGAATTTTGGTCGGTATGAAGGCCACCGCTTTCGAAGCGAAACTTTTTGGGGTGCTACACTCCCAGAAAAAAAAAAAGGTGCATTCTTACACCCTTTGTTCCATATAAGACACCCCAAAACTTGAGTTCGACGTACAGCGCACTGACGTTGATCTGACGTCCCTAACTTTCACGAGAGGCTAGCTCGCCTTGTGGTACAACTTATTAAAATAGCTAATGTACGTGTTAGTGACTACAAAAAAATTAAGCTGAGTTTTCTTGCCCCTACTAAAAAGAACCTCAGTGTTTTCTTTCTGTGATCTTTGGTACGTACTTTAGCAATTTAATAAGTTATATCGCACCGTTATCAAGCCCCTTGTAAAATTTGGGGTCGTCTGTTCGACTACAGTGCGCTGTACGTCGAACTGAAGTTTTGGGGTGCATTATATATGGGACAAAACGGTGTAAGGCGACGCCCTTTTTTTTTAGAGTGTAATTTCGCTTAGAATTCTCTCCAGATCCTCAAGAAACCGACTGGCGTCTGCGAGAGGTTTCATGCGATATCTTGGACAAGCGACAGTGATTCAGCAGTAAATGTGCCCTGCAGCTGGTAGCTAGCTAGCATTCAAAATGCTTCATTCACCCCGCGGAAGGCATACCCAATCACACTGGAATGTCGACACTACTTTGTTCCTTGAGTAATGAGCCTGAATACTGCAGTTTCTGCCACCATAAGAACTACAGGAAAATCTCTGCCCCCCAATTCCCAGTGAGAAATGCTCAATAAAAAACATTTCCCGCGAATATCGAAGGATGGGCCATCGCGAAACATGCGCGTGCATTACCGCACGCGGTTGCTTGGAAATTAACTTTATGAATCATGAGACGGATGGCGCTTGACACCTGCCACTGGGCAGTTACCAGAACCTTCCCCTCTATGTGGATCTCCTCTAGACTATATTTTGAATCAAAATATCTTTTATGCCATGTTGAATGAAGGGTGATCGAAAAAATTAGCAGCGTACCGAACCTCAGCCAGTGTAGCCAAATTCCGCAATCGTTTCTTCCCCAATTTTTGTCGGGAAACTCCCTAGATTTCCCTGTATCTTAAAAAAAATATGTTTATTTGCGTCAATATATAGATTATCGTTATGGACAAGCTTAAGAATAGATTCCTGTTGTTAGGTGGCCATTGAAAGGTTAAATTTGCTTCGGTCAAACCTTTTTACATAATTGAGCTTTGTTACTTTGGCCTTGAGTGCCCCCCCCCCCTCCCCCCCCCCCCCCCCCCCCCCCCCAAAATCACTGTTGTCACCACTGGAGATTATCCCTGGCCCTGACAATATACAATAAGAAGCCTTTTTCCCGCTGCACACGGCCAGAACGAGGAGGAAAAATGGAAACAAAACGTATGGCTAAAGCTCTCTGAAACCCATTAAAAACCATCCTTAGATTTGGAAAAATTTCCCTTTGTCCCTGGACGATAACGAGGATCCCTAGATATAGAGGGAAGTCCCTAAGCTTGGCAGCACTGACCCCGGCTGACTTTTCCGGGCAGAGACTTGTTATGCGCGTTGGGCTTACATTATGAGCACGCACAGATGGCTGTCTGTGCTTGACCGTTGGAACTCGCCGCTATACACCGACACGCTGTTTACAAACAAGCCCTCGTTTGCCCACACCAGGTGTGGGCACCGCGCGTGCGCAGAAACCGAATCCCCTTGAAGTGAATCATCTGCGCATGCGCAGTGCCGCCGACAGCGCCACCGCAGCTGCGTGACGTCAGGGCCGCGTGTTGGTCTATATATATAGGGCCGACTGCGTGCGCTTGGTGTGTCCCACGCGCAGAACACTCACAGAGGTGCGCTTTGGTTCAACACATCGGTTCTCAAGTTTTGTGGCGTCCTCCTAAACACACGTAGTGGCGTACGTGCTGTTTGCCTGTTCGGTCGTCAGCGGGAACCACTTTGCCACAATGCGAGGCGTGAACAGGGCTGCGAACGCCTTGCGAAACTGCCTGCTCATCGAGCAGTAGAGCACAAAGTTGACGGCACTGTTGACGAGCGCGAGGATGTCCATCACCTCGCCAAAGTTCATGTAGACGTGGAGAAAGAAGTCGTCTCCCAGAATGCCGCTCAGAAGGGCCGCGATGCCTGACGGGAACTCGGTGACGAGAAAGAGGAGCAGGACGGCCAGAAGCATGCGCGTTGTCCGGTCGCGTGCGTCTTCGCTGCTCCCTGAGCTGCCACTGGCCCCTCTTCGAAGACGTCTCTTGCGGGCCTTGGCCTCGTACAAGACTCGCAGGAGGCCGAGACTCAGGCCCGTCAGGGCCACGCACGGCACGAGCTTCATGAGCACGGAGTAAGTCCAGAAGTTGAGGTTCTGCAGGAAGGCCCCGTTGGCACGTGTGATGTTGCTGAAGTCTACCTTGTACGAAGGATCCTCAAGCGAGCCGGCCCTGTGCACGGTGAAGGACAGGTACACCGGCAGGCAGCACACTGCGCACGTCAGATACACGCTGACAACGGCCCATCGGGCCCTAGTCATACTGCACCACTCCTTGCTGGACGCTGGGAAGGAGACGGCCAAGAAGCGCCAGACGGCAAGGGTCACCGTGAGCCAGGTGGACACCGTGTGGAAGACGACGCTTACGTGGGCGTGGACGAGGATGAAAACGGCCACTGCGTACGACTGCCTCCTGGTCGAAGGCAGGACGTGCGTCTGCACGGTGTAAGGAAGGTACGTGGCGATGACCAGCATGTCGGCCACGGCGAGTCCCGTGAGGATGCTGTTGGTCGGGGAGACCATGTTGCGCCGCGTCAGGACAATGATGTTGAGCACGTTGGCCACGATGCCGAAGATGCACACGGTCATGCTGAGGTACCCGTGCAGGTTGCCCGTGTACCACTCGTGAAAGCGGCCCAGCTCGGCGCCGTGATACGGCAGCGGGACGTCGTCGTCGTCGAGTCCGTCGGCCCCCGACGAGGAACCGTTGGGCAGCGAGCTGTTGTTGTCCACGCTCAGGGTGAGGAGGTAGTCCTCGAGCAGCAGAACCGCCGAGCTGTTCTGGGCCATCGCGGGCTGGGAGGCGTCGGCAGCTGCGGCAGCTCCTGGACAAGAGTACCACGTCAGCTCCCACGCAGCGAGAAAGCGCGGACACAGCGAACAATGTCCACCAGTGCTGCCAACCTTAGTGATTTTTCCCTTGATCTAGGGATTTACGTCATTATTTAGGGGCAAAGGGAAATTTGTTCAAATATAGGGATTGTTTTTAATGTGTTTCAGGGGGCTTTAGAGACACGTTCCTTCCCTTTTTCCTCCTCGTGCCGGCCGAGTGCAGCGATAAAAAACGCTTATTTGTAGATTGTCGGGGCCAGAGATGATCTCCAATGGTAACAACAGCAATTTCGGGGGGCCTCACAAGACCAAAGTAACAAGCTTTAATTATGTAAAAAGGTATTAGCGAAGCAAATTTAACCTTTAAATGGCCACCCAACTACCGGAATCTATTCTTAAGCTATTCCAGAACGATAATCTCAGTATTGATACAAATTAATACTTTTCCTGAAAATCTAGGGAAATGTAGGGAATCTTCTGACAAAAATTGGGGAAGAAACGACCGCGGCGGTTGGCAACACTGCCGTCCACGGATAGCTTCCCGAACAGGCTGCCGGCGGCTCATAGACGTCGGCCAAGGTGGCCGATGCCCGGCGGATCATAAACCGAAAAGATGGCCAATGCCTTTGGGCAGAAAACCTCCCTTCGGACACACACTTCGCCAAGACACTTTTTTTGGACGCCCTAAAAACTCCGTCAACTGTCACTCCAAAGCCACCAAATCACTTCAAAAAGTGGGGCTACCAAATTCATTGCGCGAAACAAACGGGTCGATGGCTGTTTGAAGGGACCGCATAACACGCTTTGTGGACATATTCAGTAAAAGATTTTGTACGGAGATGGCCGAACAACGTGCATCAAGGGCATAACTTGAACATTGCACTGAACAAACTTACCCGAGCAAAACTTTGGATGTCAAAAACCTGAAATCCCTATCTACGACGTAGATCTTCTAATAAAGGGCGTCTGATTGGCGCAACAGCTGACAGATGGCGGCACGTAAGATCGCAGGCGGCTATGACGGGCGCTTCCCTCGACATACACAATTGGAGGCGTGCGTGAAGACAGTGGCGCCATGTTGGAGCTCCTAGCAAAAGCATTTTGCGCAGACATCCTGTGGAACAGCCGACCATTGATATCAGCTTACCTCAGCACAGCGCTCTTTGTCCTTTTTGGTCTGGCAACAAACTCAATGGCACCATCTATTGGGTGCCTCGGCACACTTCCGGTCCGGGCATATTTTCCAATTTTCGACGCGTACAAAACCACGTATATCGTCTTATAATGCTCGGAAAGAGAACGCAGAAGACGCGAAGGCACCCACAGACAGCGCTGCCAACCTTAGGGATTTTCCCCTAGATCTAGGGATTTCTGTCATCGTTTAGTTGGAAAGAGAAATTTGTTTAAATCTATTGATTGTTTTTAATGTGTTTCGCGATTTGGGGGCGATTTTTTTTTTTTTTTTTTGGAGGGGGGGAGGGGGGCACGCAAGGTCAAAGTAACAAACTTTAATCATGTAGAAAGGGCTTAAAGAAGCAAATTTAATATTTAAATGGCCACCAAACTACAGGAATCTTTCCTTCAGCTTTCCATAACGATAATCTCAATATTGACGCGAATTAACACTTTTTCTGCAAATCTAAGGACGTATTAGGTAAAACCTAGGGAATAAACGACCGCCGAGGTTGGCAACACTGAAGTCTGGGCGTCGGCCTCGCATGCCGTATGTCCAGATATAAAAAGAATACAGAGCGGATAGCTCTTCACCGATGCGAAATGATAACGCTGCATGTTGATCCCCCCTGAAATTTAATGTATTTTGATTGAGTATGTAAGTAGTGCTACCAAAAACAGCGTAATGGTGGGAAAAAGCTCAACCCTTTGGAGTGGACGCCTCACTTCCTTGAGGCTAGCCGCGTACCGTGCAGTATTTTAGAATCGGGCATACACCGGAGGCCAGCGGAACAGGTCTCGCATTCTGAATGTGTTAGATACGTGTGTTAGATAAGATGTTAGAGTTACGGGGGGGTGTTAGATAAGATGTGAGAGTTACGAAGTTGCCGTCTTCGCCGTCTAAATATCCCGCTCAGCGGACATTAGATTAGGGAATAATCTTCATGGTAAGTTGGCTTACTAACAAAATTTTTAAGTACATTTTTTTTTAAATAATGGTTTCGTGGCTCATGCAGGAATTGCATTATTGATGCTAATTACTATCAGAGGCTGGACCAACTTAAAGAATTTGCGAAAACGTCATAATTTTGTAGATATTCATCGATCAGTTCTGCGCATGTGCGAACTGCGCCTAGGGGCGTCTTCTGTGCTAGCGCATGCGCAGTTCGTACCGGAGGGTCCATCGTACCGTATCGTATGTGCAAAAACGGTTCCCTAAAACTCCCTAATATTGCGCGCAAGAAGATTGCCGGAAGCCCTGCCCACAATGACGCTTAGAAGAGTCACGTGTCGCTTCCGTGACGTCATCACTATCTGGGCAGCGCGTCCTTGGTCGATTCGCCAACGAACTTCGATAAGTTCTATCCAATTGCTTTGAAGTTCAATGGTGAAGCGACGTCAGCGTTATCATTTCACATCTTGGAAGAGCTTATCTGAATTGTTTTTATATCTGGACATACGACAGACCAGGCCGAAGCACAAGTATCTACACCTCCTAGACAGTTTTTAAGGCCTGCGCGTTTACGTCACATGACGTCACGTCCGGTGGGTCCCTCTCGGGCGCTGATTGGATGCGAGTTGCCGCGTCAGCGTTAGGGTGGGACTATGTGATAGGAAACAAGCCCGACGCGAACACTGACGCGGCGCTCGCATCCAATCAGCGCGCCCGTGCCGGCCTCCCGGACGTGACGTCATGTGACGTAACGCGCAGGCCTTCAAAGCTGTCTACGAGGTGTTGATAGTATGCATTCCCAAACACGGGAAGCAGACGATGCAGGCCTGCGTTCGTTGGCAGTTATACCTGGGTACAAGTAGAGTGAAAATTAAGACGGCAGTATGAGTACATAAGGTAAAAAAAGGATACGGATACGTGGAAGCCAGGATAACGTCCACATCGAGTGAATGAAACATGTTTTTAGGAGAGCGTTGAAGACCTTGCGGCAGCGTCTCACACCGTTGACGCTTCCCTGGCGAACTCCGGCATGCATCAACTACGGGGCGGGCGGTGGAGGCAAGGCCGGAGAGACTCCTCTTTATATATATATATATATATATATATATATATATATATATATATATATATATATATATAGACAACGAAAATATAGCGTAGGATGCCGAAGACTATAAAGTAATAAAGTCGCACTTCGAAACGTTGTTGGAGTTTTAAAGCATTTAGTGAGTCGACGTTTCGGCCTGAGACAGGCCTTCTTCAAGACTGGTTGCCAGAGTCGGTTACAGGGTTGTTTTCGCTTATATATATATATATATATATATATATATATATATATTATGAATAGTGGAAGGTTCCCACATGCAGGTGAAACTATGGGTAGCAAATGCTCCGGCATATAATTCCAAAGCTTCTGAACAACATGGGAGAAAAAAAAAAGGAAATCTAGAAACAATCTCAGGGTTTACAAGATGTCGATTAATTACCAGCTCGCCTGCACTCTCTCAGTGCTTACAATATCTTCTAAAGAGTTGCGTAACATATTTTTACATATTTCAGCGTTGTGTGTCTTGTTTCTGTTATTTCGTTGGATAATGTATAATTTCCTCTATATGATTGTTTTTGGGGGGTTTTTTTTATTGCACGAAACCTGTTTGCTGAATGTCTGCCAATGGGGGGCTGAGGGCAACTCAAGCTTCTTGATGAAGCTTCTTCCCTTTGGCTCACACTTTCTTGAAATGGAAATAAAGATTATTATTATTATTATTATTATTATTATTATTATTATTATTATTATTATTATTATTATTATTATTATTAATAATAAAGTCCTACAAGCCATTGTCGGCTTAGACGGACCCGTCATTTGATATACCGAAAGCGTTGTGTGAATAAAAAGATTATTATTATTATTATTATTATTATTATTATTATTATTATCTGCAGCAGCAACAACAAAAAGTATTTTTCTGATAATTGTATGTTGAACATGTGAAGTGGATTGAGCTTTTGAGTATTTCGGAAGCTGCGAGCACCGCTGCCCATATTGCTTTTTTTTTTTTTTTTTTTTTTTCTGGCTTGCAATATGTCCGTTTCGGCATAAACAGGAGATTTTGTCCTTTAATTAAAACGCGACAAAACGAGGCTTTGAAAAATTAAATCAAGCAGTGTAACGAGTAGTTTTAAGACAATAAACAAAAACATTATTGTATCTAACACCCAACTCCAAGTTCACTAATGGTGAATTCCATTGGTAGTTTTGGAGCGCGCCGGGATCGACTTTTCTGGAGCGAGCCTATTCCAATGGGAAATCGGGATCGAGACCGACGTGTTTCACTGGTCGTTTTGGATTAGCTCCCGCTCCAGATCTCGATCTGGATCCGAGAAAAGTCGCTCCGACGATTTCGGGAGATTCAACCGGAAGCCAGCCGGTCCAGCCCTCGGCGCACACACGTGACTTCCTTTCTCGTGGGGCATCTCGCCTCATCTCGCCCATCTCGCCTCAGAAGAAGAAGCACGTCGTGGGCTCCTAGATTGTCTCGACATCAGAAGAATTCGTAATGGCCGCTTGCTTACCCCTTGGCTCGACAGCCGGTTCGTTTTCCAGGAAGGAGAAGAGAAGGTTATGGGCCTCGCTACGGGCATCCTGGCCATCTTTGCTAGAAGCGCCTGAGCCATTCCTGCCGCTCTCGTGCGCCGAACACATGTTAGCGCCGCGATTGCGAAAACGTCTTCG